CCCTTCCAGTTAAGCTTCCAATTAAGTTTCTTTCTTACTTAATGCCAATTAATTGTTCATAGAAATGAACAAAAAATTGATTTAAAATCCCCTAGAATTGAGGGCTGGAGAGATGGCTCAGTACCTAAGAACACTCAGTTCTCTTACAGAGGACCCAAGTTCAGTTCCCAGTACCCACTTCTAATGGCTCACAACAATCTGCAACCCCATTTTCAGCAGCTTTGGTCCCCACCGGCACCTGCACTCACATGTACATACCCGCATACAGATGCATACACCTCCACATGTACATACCCACATACAGACACATACACCTCCACATGTACATACCCACATACAGACACATACACCTCCACATAATTTAAAATCATTTTTTAAAAAATTATTTCAAAATGTCCTACAACTATTTATTACCTTTTTAGGTTAAAATGATTAAATAGAAAGGAGAATTTAATATTGTTTTCTGGTCTGAGTGATTTTTGTTGGTTGGAGTTTCATTTGTTTGTTTGTTTTTTGGGGGGAGGCATTGTTTTGCTTGTTTCTTTGTTTGTTTGGTTTGGTTTGGGATGGTTTGGGTTTTTTATTTTTAGACAGTGTTTCACTAGATAGTCTTTTCTGGCCTGGAATTTGCCATGTAGACCACACTGGCCTCAAACTCATTGAGATCTGCCTACCTCTATCTCCCGAGTGTTGGGATTAAAGAATTGTGACCAACGCCTTTATCCCAGCACTCAGAAGGCAGAGGCAGGCGGATCTCTGTGAGTTCAAGGCCAGCCTGGTCTATAAAGTGAGTTCCAGGACAGTTCAGGGCGATTACACAGAAACCCTGCCTCAAAAAAAAAAAAAAAGAAAAAAAAACAAAATATAACAAAACCCCAAAAAATAAATAAATAGAGGTTTTTGTCAGTACACCTGGCAGAAAGAATAACTTTAAAGGGACATGCTGAAAACATTTTTGATAATAAAATCATACAGCTATTAGACATTTTCCAGTCATCCAAGTCAATTTTAGATGATGCTGAGAATGAAACCAGAAAGGCTTTGTGTGCATACCAAGTAATTATTATTCTAAGACTATCCTTGGGGAGGGAGAGAGAGAGAGAGAGAGAGAGAGAGAGACTCATAGAGCCTTGGTCAAGAACAACACCCAGCACCAGCATCCCAGTTGTGTAGGAGGTTCTTCTGTTCATGTGTTGCTTTCCTTGGTTAATGAATAAAGAAACTGCCTTGGCCTTTTGATAGGGCAGAACTTAGGTAGGCGGCGGGGGGTGGCAGGGGGGGGGAGACGGGACAGAACTGAATGCTGGGAGGAAGAAAGCAGAGTCAGAGAGAAGTCATGGATCCTCTGCCTGAGATGGATGCTGGTTAGAATCCTTCCTGGTAAGCCACTGCCACGTGGCAATACACAGATGCTCTGTTGCAAACTGTAATTCAGTGAGGCAGAGGCAGAAGAATTACCCTGAGCTTGTGGGCCAGCTAGGTCAGAATAGCAGTGTGGTGGTTTAAGAATATGCTCACAGGAACTGGCACTACTGGAAAGTATGGCCCTATTGGAATACGTGTGGCACTGCTGGAGGAAGTGTGTCACTGAAGCTGGGATTTGAGGTCTCAGAAGCTCAAGACAGGTCTCGTATGTCTCAGTCTCCTCCTGCTGCCTGTGGATCTCAGCTCCTTCTCCAGCACCATGTCTGCCTGCATGCCACCATGCTTTCCACCATGATAATAACGAACTAACCCTCTGAAACTGTAAGACAACCCCTTTAAATATTTTTGTTTATAAGAGTTGCCTTGGTCATGGTGTCTCTGATGTGGGATTCTCCTCTGTAAGCCGTGAATATGTTTTATTACCATAGGTTAATAATAAAACTATTTGATAATGGCTTAGCAGAATATAGTCAGGCTGGAAGAGATATAGAGGGAGAGAGTAGGTGAAGTAAAAGACATGCCATGTAGCTGCTGAAGGAGACAGATGCCCTGGAACCTTATCAGTAGGCCACAGCCCCCCTGATGATACACAGATTAATAGAAATGGGTTAATTTAAGATGTAAGAGTTAGTTACTAAGAAGCCTGAGCTAATAGGTCAAGCAGCATTGTAACTAACATAGCTTCTGTGTTATTAATTGGGTCTGGGTAGCCCAGAAATGAACTAGCAGTCTCCTTTTACATGTCTCTTAACAGCAATAGAAATCCTAAGACAGAAGTTGGTGCCAGGTACTGGGTTATTGATGTGATAGGCCTGACTGTGCTTTTGTTTGGAAGAATTTGGGCTTTAATATTTTGGGTTAGGAAAGCAGTGGAATACTAGAAGTACAACTTAATAGGTTGCAGTAGTAGAGGCATAGAAGACAACGGTGCTGAAGGTGATTTGAACTGTGGGGGCCTGGATGAAAAGGAGAATTTTAGTATGTGTCTTAAACTGTTCTTGTGATATTTTGGTGAAGAATGTGGGTTACTTTTTGTCCTTGTCCAAAAAAATCTGCCTGAAGCTAAATTGAAGAGTTTTGGATTGATTGTACTTGCAGAGGAGATTTCAAAACAGCCTAATGTGAACTGTATCATGTGATTATTAATGGCCATACTCATGCAGATCTATAATAAAAAGGAACAAGCTGAGAAAGGAAAGTTACAAAATGTGCAATTTGAGGAGAAAAGGTATACCAGAAAGTAGAATGGAGCTAAAACCTATATCATGAGGGCCTGCTTGTCGGGGTTTCTGTCCTGCCCAGTTTCCATAGCTGTTTAGGCCCTAAAGAAATCACACAGAGAGTCTGCATTAGTTATAAACTGATTGGCCCATTAGCTCAGGCTTCATATTAGCTCTTATAACTTATTTTAGCCCATTATTCTAGTATATGTTAGCCACAAGGCTCATTACCTTTTTCAGCAGGGCAGATCACATCCTGCTTCTTCAGTGTCTGAACAGGACTGCAGAGGAATGGACTTCCTCCTTCCCAGAATACTCCTGTTCTCGCTGCCCCACCTGTACTTCCTGTCTGGTTGTCCTGCCTATACTTCCTGCCTGGCTACTGGCCAATCAGCATTTATTTAAAACATAATTGACAGAATGCAGAATTGTCCCAGACCAAAATCCTGTATTCAAGGAGATAAATACATTAAAGAAAATCTTTATGTTAAATGGAATACAGGGAGTGGTGACCTCAGGACAAAACCCCACCCAGGTAAACTTCCAATTTGTGAAAAGGCTGAGGCATGCAGATCTCTGAGTTTGAGGCCAGCCTGGTCTCAGATCCAGTTTCAGGAGAGTCAAGCTTAGGCAGAGAAAGAAACCATTGAAAATAGAAAGCTGGTTAAATGAGGGGGCCATGTCCCAGCCCCAGCGAGCAGCAGAACTTTGAAACTTCAGCTAAGTGACTCTGGCTTTAGAGTCAGAGATAGAAGAAAGGAGTTATGGAATCTCCCTCTGTGACTAAGGAAAGTCACTGAGTCCAGGCATGTGTAAGGAGTGTCCCTGAATGGAGGCCTAGATAGGCCATTGAGTGATGTTGTGAAATTGAAGCCTGGATTGTGTGGAGAACCCAAAATATTGGAGATACCAGGTTTGTGGGATACTTGCCAAGGAAAGTTGCTAACAGGGAGTGGAACCAGCCCAAGAGAAAGAAGTCTGTTGCAGTTAACAAAGCTGAAAGGAGTTGGAGATCTGAAGAGCATTTTGACATCAGACATGGAGATGCAGAGTTTGACGTTTGTCCAGTTGGTTTCAGTCTTGCTTTGGTCCACTATGCTCCCTTCCCTATGTTTAAATGGTAATATATATCCTGTATCATTGTATGTTGTAAGTATGTGGTCTGCTTTTTTATTTTGTTTTTTTTTTTTTAACAGGGGATTATAGTTAAGAGATTGCATGAGTCTCAGAAGAGACTTTGAACTCTGGACTTTTAAACAGTGTGAAGACTGTTATAGACTATGGGGACTTTTGAAGTTGGACTAAGCACATTTTGCATTGTGTTATAGATATGAACCCATGGTGGCCAGGGAGTGGAATGTGATCGTTTGAATGAAAATGGCCCCATAGGCTCACAGGGACCAGCACTATTGGGAGGTGTGGTCTTGTTAGAATACATGAGGCCTTGTTGGAGGAAGTGTGTCACCAGGGACAGGCTTTGATCTCTGAAGCTGAAGCCAGGCCTAGTGTATCTTGGTTTCTTCCTTCTGCCTGCAGATCCAGATGTAGAACTCTCAGCGCCTTCTCCAGTGCCATGTCTGCCTGCATGCCGCCACACTTCTGCTAGAAGGAAAATGGACTAAAGCCCTGAAGCCTGTAAGCCAATTCCAAGTAAATGTTTTCCTTTATGAGAATTGCTGCAGTCATGGTGTCTCTTCACAGCAATAGAACACAGACTAAGGCAATTAACTCAGTAGCAGAAACAAGAAAGATCCGACCTTAATTAACGAGGGGGGGGGGAGGAGATAATGGATTCCCAAAGATTGTCCTTTGATCTCCATATGCAAGCCGTAGTATGTACAGGACACACACATACACACACACACACACACACACACACACACACTTTAATTAATTAATTAATTAAAATACAGGCATTGATCACAAAAGTTCATATACGAGATTTTAGTTTTGCTAAAACAAACTATATTCACTCTTAAAACACTACACACACCTTAGATGCAGAAATGAGCACAGACTAAAGAACAAACAGGACCCTCAGTTTAAAAAAAAACCCTAAAAATATAAAATGACACAGCAAATATTTAGTCTTTCTTCCTAGAAAACTCTGAATTTAAAAAGTTATGACCGGGCGGTGGTGGCGCACGACTTTAATCCCAGCTCTTGGGAGACAGAGGCAGGCGGATCTCTGTGAGTTCAAGACCAGTCTGGTCTACGAAGTGAGTTCCAGGGCAGGCCCCAAAGCTACATAGAGAAATCCTGTCTCGAAAAAAAAAAAAAAACAAACAAACAAGAAAAGCAAAAAGTTATGACTGTGTTAGACGTGGACATTTGCGAGCTCCTCCAATGACACACCTGAGGGTGGACAGCAAACAGCACAGTATTTCTTACAGATCTGCGGGCAGGAGAGCAGAGATCAGGGTCCTGCAGTGTCTGGTAAGTGTCTGCTCCCTCACAGATGGTGCCACATCACTGCGCTCTCATGTGGCGAAGTGGATCGCTCTCTCTTGTTTCTTCTGGTGGAAAGGACACCAATCCCAATCCTGAGGGTTCCAGACTCACGGCCTCGCCACCTCCTCAGTTCTACATCTTCATGCTATTGCCTAGGATTTCCACGCATGAGTTTTGAAGGAATTCATTCAGTGAGGCCAAACCAGTCAGACCTTTGAATGTTGGGTGTGAATTCAACACCCTGCCTTTCCCTTCTCTAGTTATGTGAATTTAGACAAATTACTTAACTTCCCTCGGCCTCATTTGTAAAATGTTGCTGAGACTGGTACTGAGAAGAGGAAGTGGGATTTTCTCCAAAGTCTGGACTTTAGATGAGAAAAACACAAAGAAGCTCTGGAAGTGAACAGCTATGAAACTAGAAAATTTCCCTAGCAGATGGAACAAGAGTACAAAGGACGGCTCACAAAATGGTTAATAGAGTGGTTATCAATGCTAAGGACAACGAGATTAACTTGGGGGCACTCAGCTAACATATTAGGACTCTGCAAATTGTCTCTAACCAGAGATTATGGTCACATGGCTCCAGAAATGAGGAATTGAGGTGCACCAGACAAGCCATCAAGTAACTTCTCCTTTGAGACACACACATGCCACACACACACACGCACATGCACACATACACACACACACATGCACACATACACAAGGAAGAGTTTTTCGAGCTAGACTGTCACAGTATCCTGTATACCCATCATTCGAGAACACGGTATGAATTTCTGCCAAACAGGATTTTATGCATCTTTAAACAAAGAACCTAGCATTGTGGACTAGCATAAAAACCTCAGTAGATGGAGGAATAAATGCTGTTGTTCTGCTTGCAGAAGCCAGGGCTCTGGAAACAAACATCCATCAAACCAGGACCCAGCTCCTTCCCACAGTTCTCTCGGGCCTGATCTTCCTTTGCCACCTCCAAATTCCTCCTGAGCCCTGTGGGAAGAAGCACAGAGCCTAGAGCCCACTCCCAGACTTCTCTTCACCCAGATCAACATGTAGGGTCAGTCTCCACCCCTCTCCCCACTCAGACTGCTCAGGGTAAGGTGCTGATTCACCTTTGTCTCTTTCCTGCCTAGAATTCCACTCAGCGGGAAGTCTTGGCAGCTCTCCTTCCCCAATACTTCAAATCTGGAACCGCTCTAAACCAAGCCACCATCACCTCTTGTGTAGATCACGGTATCCTGTTTCTCTGCTTGGGGTTCTTTTCAAAACCACAGCCAAAATGTTTGTCTCACTTCTGAAGACATTCTGGAGGCTTCCAATCTCACCCACAAGAAAATTCAGGCTTTGCAGTGACCTACACGGTCCCCAAGTCTGCAGCAATGGGTTCCCATCAATTGTGCTTCCCACCACTGTCCAGACACCCCACCCCTTGTCTAGAGCGACCTTCAGTTGTAAGCAGAACACACACCCATTTCCTGAGAGATGCCACCTTCTACCTCCTGGATTTCTCCTCTGTTTCTTTGTAGCATGTATCAGCTACCAATAAGTGACATCACTTGATCGCTGTCTTGTCTGCTTCTCTCGAACACATTCCGAGAGAGTGAGAGCCTATACATCTTGTCCTGTTCTGTATCTTGAGTATGCAGTACAGGGCCTGGAATGGGCCAAACGTCCATCAAGCATGAGTGTCAAATCCTCTGCCAAGCCAGAGGGTGTAGGACTTTGGAGGGCTAGGAAATACAGATAAAAAATGATCGGGAGGGGGCAGGGGCGCGACTTAGTGCACAGTGCTTGCTGTGTAGCTTGAGAACTGGAGTTCAGAGCCTCAGAACCCAGGTCAATGCCAGGTGGGCACGGGAGGGGGGTGTCTACCTACAATCTCAGCATTTGGAATGGGGAGAAAAGCTCTCAGGCTAGCTAGCCCAGCTGTATCAGCGAGCTCGGGTTCAACTGAGAGACCCTCACTCGGTGAATAAGGAGAACAATGGAGATGTCAATCACACACACACACACACACACAGAGAGAGAGAGAGAGAGAGAGAGAGAGAGAGAGAGAGATTCAGAACTAGCTCCAACCTATGAGAGTAGAGCACAGAGTAGGTGTTTGCGGGAGGCACACGAACAGTCCTGACAATTGCAGGACCAAATAACCATCTTTACCACTTTTGCCATCCCTGACCTTGCTATGGCTCCTTATTCTCAAAATTTAATATGGATTTCTTTGCGAGAGCAACTTCAGATGTGAACATCCAAACCCACATGCATTTCCTGCTCTCTCCTCAGTGGGAGAATTTCTTGTGGCCAGGTCTGCTCTTAAACACACAGAGAGTGCAGAATGTCTGAGTGATGCCACCCACCCCTCTCCCACCCACACCCTCTCAGAAGTGCCCCCCACCACTTCCCCTGGAGTTCAGGAGAACATAAACTTATACAATTTACAATTCATTGACCTCTGAAAAAGCGAGTCACGCCCCCGAAAGAGAGCTGCACACAAAAGCTTTCCCAAGCAGGATCTTTTGTTGACACTGGTCTCTGGTTACACCCCAGGCATGAAAAGGGAGGAAATTCTTCAAAGGCAGTGCTCCCCTACTTTTGTCTGTCTGTAGCAGAACCCCTTCCCCCCACTCTATCCTCCCTGGAGGGAGGCACTGCCAGTTCAAAAGCGTGAGTGCTGCCTAAGGAGGTGATTTTTTTTCAGGTTAGACCCTATATATAGCTAAAATACTTATAGGGCCGGTCTCGTGTTACTTGGCAAGGGTTTAAAGCCTTAAACAACTCCTGTCAAGTGTGCGGTGTTATGAGTCCCCTTTCCTGTCCAAAACCCTTCGTTGGCCCAGACCATGGGAATCGCCTTTCTCCTTCCGGCCACTCCTGGCTAGCCCTCTTAGCACAGTGCAGCCTTTCCCCCCAGGGCGCAGGACTGCCTGGGGTCGCAGCTCTGCACTTGCTGGCGCCTCACTAGTGAGGCCTTTCTTCAGACTCTGCAGTATCCTGACCTGGGAGGCTCCTGTTTTCCTGGGTCAGAGTCAGGGACCAAATATGACATGAAAACAATGTGCCTCTGCCACCACCACCAATAGCTCATTCTGATCACCTGAGATTTGCCCCTCCTGGTACAGCTTTCCACATAGCTCAGTCAAGAAGAGAGCATTGAGTCCGTAGAACTGGGATTACAAGCAGTTGTGAGTGGCTGTGTGGGTGCTGAGAACTAAGTCCTGGCCCTCTGGAAGAGCTGCTAGTGTGCTCACAACAGCTGAACCTTTCTTCTCTGTCCTTTTAAGACAGTGTTGCTATAAGGACCAGGCTAGCCTCAAATGTGCCATGATTTCCTTTCTCTGATCCCAGAATGCTGGGATTGCGGGTATATGCCACCATGTCTGCCTCAAAAACTTCTGTATCCAATTATTTGGACCCTTCAGGAAGTCACACTTGCTCGGGTGTGTGTATTATGCAGAGAGCTGAACCCCAGAAACCAAGATTAAGAGCACAGCCTGCTACAGGCTTGGGTCACACACTCCCAGCACAAAGTCTTGGCCTTGAACACTAGGAATCTTCTTTTAATTTTTTTGTTATGGTTCTTTTATGTGCATTGGTATTTTTTGTCTGGTGTGTGTGAGGGTGTCAGATCCCCTGGAGGTAGAGTTACAGGCAGTTGTGAGCTGCCATTTGGGTGCTGGGAATTGAACCCAGGTCCTCTGGAAGAACAGCCAGTGTTCTTCACAGCCGAGCCACCTCTCCAGCCCCAGGAATTCTCTTTTTAAAGTTTTTGTTGCATTTTAATTTTTGATTGTGTGAATGGATATGTATGTGTACATGCGTGTGTATGCATGTGTGAGTGTGTGTGTTGGGTGAAGGGTGTGCTCAGAGAACAACTTGAGAAAGTTGGTTCTCTCCTTCTACTATGTGGATCCCCAGGATTGAAGTTTGGTCATGAAACTTGTGAGAAGTTCCTTTACACACTGAGCCATCTTCCTGGCCCAACCAGACAATTTTACATGCTGTTTTACAGGTTCCATTTAAGATTTAAATGCCCAAAGAAGGCCGAAGGGGAGGAAGAAATGCATTTCCCATGCCACATACAACCTACCATCCTTCCTCTGATTAAAAAATATTCTCTCTTGCTGAGCAGTGGTACACACCTTTAATCCCAGCACTCGGGAGGCAGAGACAGGCCAATCTCTGAGTTTTAGACCAGCCTGGTCTACAAGAGCAAATTCCAGAACAGGCTCCAAAGCTACAGAGAAACCCTATCTCGAAAACAAACCAAAACAAAACAATTCTGTTCCAGTAGGGGTCACAGTGCACAAAAATGACTACAAGCCAAGGAGGGAAACTTGCCCCTGGAGTTGGTACTTGCATATTTTTCCAAAGAATAAACCCGCCTCCTATCATTTTGTTTGTTATGGCACCAAAAGAGGAGGAAAACTCTGAATTCTGTTCCTTTCAATCTGGAAAGCAAGTGACAGGCTTGGTGCTCCCATCTCACAAGGAGTCTGTGGAGGAGGGGACCAGGGCCTTACCAGCGCTAGGGGAAGAGCCGCCATTACAGAACTAAAACACAAAGTGCAGAAGCTCAGCACCCTAAGGCTGCATCTCAGAGGCTGCGTGCATGTGTGCGTGCATGCGGACAGGCGGGCGAAGCAATGGTTCTCACAGGGTACGAAGCAATGGTGCTCTCAGGACACCTGCGTAGCCTGGAATGAGGACAGTGCTGTCATCAATGCGAGGCTCTGGGGTGGGCACGTGCCGGGAACCCAACAAAACTCAACTGAAGGAAGCCAGGTTTAAGATTGAAACCCAAACCTGAAGGCAGGAGGCTTCCGGTAGAAAACCAGAATCGCCATTGTTTGCCTCAGGAGTTAAGGGCTGAATATGGGAAAAGAGCATCTTACTGGAACACCTTCAAAGGTAGAGCCGGCTTTTCAGAAACAACTTTCTTCCGCGTGCAATTCAGTTCTCCGGATTTATCTGAGGCAGTCACAGGGTCACCAAAATAAAAACAGGCTTATTTGGGTTAAAGAATATTTCCAGAAATTTGTATGCGCAAAGGACGCATAACACATAGAGCACCCAGAAATGCTCTGAAGCTAAAACAGCGCCATCCGAAATCACGTCAGCTGCTTCTGTTTTCATCTCCAGATTGACTTGTGCTGGTGGAATAAATAAGGGAAGATAAAAAATGAATTAATAAACTTCTAAGCCTTTACAAGCCTTCTGGGCCCTGCTGGAATCCCTTATAGATATTGCTAATCCT